AGTACCCCGGCGTGTATGTGTAAAATCTAGAACAGCCGATTACCTCGGCATTTACTTTTGCTGATATATCTGCAAAATATCGGTTTTTTAGCTGATATCTCTGCAAAATTATATTTGTTAGCTGAGTCTCGGCAATTGTTTTAGTCAATCTTAGCAAAATAAACTGCAGAACTACTCGGCTGTTGGAATCTCGGCGAAAAAATTTAAGTGTGTGTGTGTGTGTGTGTTTTTTTTTTTTTTTATAGTAAGGAAAGCTTCAAAAGCCCGACCTGTCACTGTGTTGCGTGTTTGTTCTCCTTCTGGCACAGTGTGGGACTTTTAACCACTAAAACCTTACTCGCCTCTAGCCACTATCCCCCCGGAACTCCCCTAGAGTATTTCGTCGGGGGGGGGGGGGCTGTGCTCAAGCACTTCTCTTTAGCTCAGCTAGCCGGCGTTGATCATCTCTCCATTTTCGCTGCAGCTCCGACAAAATTTGCGTCACTGCCCTGCTGACGACGCTCCACGTCCTCTCATCCCAGCACATTTCACTGATGACATTTCTCGCGCTAAGGGCCGGCATCTCCACTCGCACTGCCTCAAATCTTGGGCAGTAGAAAACCACGTGCTCCGGCGTTTCGTCTACGTTGCCACACTCCGGACAGAGGGGTGACGTTGTGTGTCCAAAGCGATGCAGGTACTTCCTGAAGCAGCCATGACCAGACAGGATCTGCGTCAAGTGGAAGTTGACTTCTCCATGCTTCCTGTTCACCCAGGTCGAAAGAATCGGTATTAGCCTGTGTGTCCATCTACCGTTCTCCGCTGCGTCCCACTCCTGTTGCCACTTAACCATCGACTCCGTTCTCACCATTTTTCGAACTCCTCTGGTATCTCTTCGCATATAGCATTCGGTGTCCTCCGCCAAGGTGATGGCGATGGGTAACATACTGGCGATAACGCATACTGCTTCCGTCGAAATTGTTCTGTACGCACTCACGACTCGCATGGCCATGAGGCGGAACGTACTGTCCAATTTTCTTTGGTTCTTCTTCGTTTTCAGCGCTGCATCCCAAGCTGGACCTCCATACCTCAGTATTGACGACGATACACTAGCCAGAAGACGCCTCTTGCTGCTGCTTGGTCCAGAATTGTTAGGTCATCGATCATCACTCCAAGATACTTCAGCACGCGCTTTGAAGCTATGGCGTTGGCATCAGCGTCTCGACACAGCTCCTTGAAGCAGTTTGACTTGCTCAGCTTTAACTCCCGTTTTAGAGCGGCCTTGGCTGCTCGAAACACCACCCTTCGCTCTGCTCTGTCTGCATCAGTTCTTGCTCTCTGAACGCGCCTTCTGGTTCGGAGACAACTAGCGCGGAAAGTGCTAAGTGCCTCGTTCCACCAGTAAGCTGGGCGCCGTCTGTTCCTTGGTTCCGATTTCCTCGGCATGGTTGTGTCGCATGCCCTCACTAACGATTCGGTCAACTCGTCCGCGCTTTGGTCTGGGACGCTGCTGTCTACCCGGAGAGCTTCTACAAAGAGATCCGTGTCGAATGCCTTCGTCTTCCACCTCCGCTTGCTTACTTTCGTTTTCCACATTGCCATAGGTATCCGTTGGCCAAAGCTGTACCTAATCGCCTGATGGTCACTATGAGTGTACTCCTCACACACTCTCCAGTTCATACTTGTCACTAACGACGGAATGCAGAAAGTGACGTCGATAATGGATTCCCTACCATCTTTGCGGAAGGTACTGATGGTTCCTTCGTTGGCCAGACTGACGTCCAACTTTGCCAGAGCTTCCAGCAGGCTATACCCTCTTGCGTTGGTACATCTACTTCCTCAGTCCACTGCCCAAGCATCTCCTCCAATGACGATTGGTCTCCGTCCGGTGAGCTCCCCGGTGAGTCCATCTAGCATCTGGTGAAACTGCTCCATTGTCCATCTCGGGGGTGCATAGCAACTACATACGAAGGTTCCATTAATTTTGGCGATCCCAAAACCTTCGTAAGACCTCGTCACCACTTCTTGTATGGGATACCTGCCCATAACTTGTATTGCCGCCATCCCTGCTCTATCGGCCACCCAGTTATCGTTATCGGGAGGGACTCGATACGGCTCCGCAATCATTGCAACGTCGCACTTTGTTTCCGTTGTCGACTGCCACAACAGTTGCTGTGCTGTGTCACAATGATTGAGATTTATTTGGGTTATCTCCATTACTATTGGCCCGCTATCGCCTGTTTTGTAAGCTGGGCACCTGAAACTTCCCGTCATATGACTGTTTCCGTCCTCCTTTCTGCATAGCATGCACCTCGGTTGCTTCATACAGTCTTTAGCAACGTGCCCCTTCTCTCCGCATTTCCTGCACAGCTCCGATCTATCAGGGCCTTTGCAGTTTCTCGCCTGGTGACCAAAGTTCATGCACTTAAAGCATTTCTCCATTTGCTTGGTAACCCGAGGGATAGCTTTCAGGGGGCATACTGACCACCCAACTTTGACTCGTCCCGTCTTCAGCAACTCGTTAGCTGCGTCCATCGCAAGTCGTATCAACGCCGTTTGTGTACCACCGTACGCCTTCCTCAACCGGATTGTCATAGGCACATCTCCCACATTGCCTTGCACCTTCAGCGCACATCGTACCTCGTCTTCCGTTGTGATCTCATCCAGATCCTTGCACTCGACCACTGACTCCTGCGATAAGGCTCTTACGTTCGCGTCCTCGCCAAGAGATTTTTCGACGAGTTCCTTGAAGGCTGAACTCCTCACCGACGGGTCCTTCTTCAGCTCGAAGAGCATCTCGCCTTTCTGGGTGCGCCTGGTTTTCACCACGTTCTCGCCCAGTTGCTTCAACTCCGGATCCTCTCTCACTTTCCGGAGGAGTGCTGCGTATGTCGTTTTGTCTTTCGCCTCGATAACCAGAGCGTCGCCCTTACTTCTCTCCCTAAGATGCCTGGGGTTTTCCTTCTTCTTGACTTCCTTCTTCCTCTCTTCCGTCTTCTTCTTCTTCTCTTCCTCTCCATTCTTCTTTTCCTTCTCCTCCTGAAGGAACAGAAGAACCTTCTTCCTTTGTTCCTCTTCCTTTAGTTTTTTCCTCTTCTCCTTCTGGTTTTCGACTTTACGCCAATCACTGTCTTCTCCATCTTCTTGCTCCTTGTCCCCGTATTCGTCGTCCTTGTGTTTTTTGGGGTCCTCTTCGTCTCCTGGCGTTTCCCTATCTCTTTTTTCCGGACGTTGGTCCCTTCGGCTATTCTTCTCCAAAATTTTCGTGTTGCCAAATTCGAGTTTGCTAAAATGACGTAATATCAATTACAAATAATCCTATTATTACTTACCTAGCGTGTAATTTTATCAACGAATAATTTAAGAAAACTTTTAGAATATTTAAATGGTGTTGCCAAAATCAAGATCCATGTGTATTTCAATAATTAAATTCGTTTTAAACTATTCCAAAAATGTTTTTGAGCGAATCCTTTGGAAATCTCCTCAGAAATCTCTTAAAATTTCTTCTAAATTTTCCTTAAACTTTTCTAAGAATTTAATTTAAATTGTCCTCCCTTTATGTTTGGAATTATACTCAGAATATGATCTATTTGATGTTTTTTTTTCTCGGAATTCCCTTGAATTTCTTTTCTAGTATTCGTTTGAAATTATCATCACAACATCCTTTAAATTCAGCTTAAAATTCTCTTTTAATAATTCTTAATACCTGGTATCCTCCTCAAGATTCAAATAAAAGTCGCTTCAAAATCACTTAGGAATTCAATTCAGAACTTCCCAGAATTATTCATCTTAGAATTGCTTATCTTAGAATCATATATAATTTTTTTATAATTCTGGTCAAAGCTCCATTAAAAAATGTTCCAGGATTTTTAAGGAATCCTCTCTAGCATTTTCTTTGAATTAACAATTGACCACTTTGTCAAGCAGTTTTAGAGTGACAAGAATGCGATTTCACAAAACTGGACCAACTAATTTTTATTTTTCTATGAAACGCACAAATGTTGGCTACTTTTCTCGTGGTTCTAGAAGAAAAAATCTCAAAAAATGTTTATTTTCAAAGATCGAGTGGTAGAAAACGTCATTTTAACCGCTCGAATGAAGTTGGGTAGTTCTCTTTAAATTCACCCCAAATTTCATTAGGTTTTTTTTCCGGCAGAATTTTTTATAAAAATCTAAAATTTTTTAGATCCTTGAAATTTCTTTCAAATTCTAAAGACTTGGCTGAAATATGGGCTCTTTATTTTGTTTTCAAGATCCTACATTTTGAGTTTTTCTCAATCCCAATCGAAAAAAAAAAAACATTTTTTTTTTCTTAATCTAGAATCACGAAGATTTTTTTATATTTCATAAATCTCGGAAATATGTCATAGTCTATAAACAAATATCGAAACCAATCGTGGAAATATTCTTAAATCCCAAATTTATTGAACACTTCCGTTTCTGGTTGAATTTGAGCAACCGGGAAAACCGGGGGAAACAAATTTGAAAATGAAAATGAAATGAAAGCTCAATAGTGTTCGGTCTAGCGATGCTCGAATAATTTTCATAATTTTATTAGAAAATCCATCGTTACTTTAAAGGGATAGAGGGTCCATCACTGGAAAAGAAGCTAATAACTTTTACTCGGGTCCCAGCACTGTCAAAACAATCCCGCACTCCAGCTCCGCAAATACGGCAACAGCGCATGGGAACCGATACAGGTGTTCATTCGCTATTCATTTCATTCTCGCACCAACACACACCATTCATAAACACACGACCCTCTCTTTTACAACACGCACTCAACTCACTAGCTCTGCTTTTACAACCAGCTCCGTTTCTTGTGTTGATGTTGATTCTGGTGAGCAGACTGTCGTTCAGCGGCCAAGAGCGGTATTCTATGCTGCAAACGACGCATAGCACAGTAAAAAACCTTCTCTGTGTACGTGAGAGAGAATCTACTGCGTGATTACGGGCGGATCAGAGCATAAACCCAGAGAATTTTTGTTTGCTTACACGACTTCAAACCAAGGCAACCGTCGCCGCTCCGTTCATACGTTATCGTGAATGCGTTGAGTGTAGTCGCGCGTACGACGGGTTTTGCGGGTTTCGGCTCTCACAAAACTGTTTTTCTTCTCAATGAAGTGAAAATAATCCAGTGAAAACTTGAACGGTGGTGGACGATAAAAACTTTGCTGACTCGGTGGTTTTTGAGGTGCAATTTTGAGAACTGAGTATTGAAACCTTTAGAACTGTATTCCAAATTAGCAGTGAATTGAATTTGATTGGCAAAGTAGCAAAGCGTTGAAGCAGGGCAAAATTGGATTCAAAAGTGAGGAATTTGTGCGTGTAAACACTAATAGCCGGGGAAGCATAGCTTGTGTAGTCGTCGTTCAGTGGTGGTTTGATTGAAGCATTCCCAGCAGGAAAAGGCAATCGCCTACGGACAGTAAAGAAAGTAAGGTTATGTTGCGTAGTGTTTTCTGTTTATTTTTTATTACAATCTGACACTTGAACGAACGCTGCTGCGCGTTGGATGACAGCGTTCATTGGTAAGTACACCCTATCCGTTGTATATGTGTGTTGAGTTATGGATGGGGTTTCGACGGGTGAGAGAGAGAGAGATATCCATCCAGCAGAGTTTACTGGATGAAGTATCCCGACGGTAGAGTGATGCCAGGTGTGGTAGGGAACTGTCTATTTAAAATTGGGAATTTGATTATTTAGCTTCTTACTTACAAATAATTTCTTATATACCTAGATCAATAGCGAATGATGTTTAATACGGACTTTATTTTTATAAATCATATGCTAAAAGTTGGTTGATGCATCGAACCTTAATCCCTTATTATGTTATCGTTAGTATATCGTCTTTGAGTTCGATGATGAGAATCGATCTTTGTTACTTAGGATCTAATCCATTGTTCGGTTTGAATTATGATGGTTTAAATAAAACTATTTTGAATTAATTATCAATATCGGTGCACTGTTCAACAATGCGAATCGATCATGTCTAGATTTCTACGGTCTCCCTAATAAAATTGCTATGGTTATTTTGATTAATGACGTGTTCATTGTATCATCCAAACCATTTTTGGGATATTTTTATTATTTGGGTTATCGTTCGTTTATGGTTATTTTGTATTAGAGCTATCTAACACTACTGGTTTTAAGACTTGTTATCATAGGTTTTTGTTCCTTTTTTATTTAGCGTCGGTCACTGTTCCGTAAAGTACCAAACACCGACGAGCGTGGTGACTCATAACAGACAATCAGCAAGAGCAATCGAAGGCCAGGGAGGCGATTTCTACACCTCGAACCTATCGAACCATGGGCTTGGTCCGGCAGCTTTACTTCCCTTCCGAAGTAAGACGTAACTTACTTAAATATGATGGGCACCCCCAGTATTGCAAAAGATCGACGTGAAAGATTTCCATCCTGGGCAGCTGCTTGCTTTTGCTTTAACCCACGTCAAATTCCTATCGACTTCCTTAATTACCTTGTTGGGTCTGCCTCTATTGCGATGTCCTGCCGGGCTCCAATCTAGGCGCTTGCTTGCTTGCGTGGAGTGTGGCCGACCCACTTCCGCTTACATTCTCGAATTTCAGTTGATATCGGCTTCCGATGACATTGAAGGTGGAGCTCATTATTCGAAATCCTGTTGTGAGGCCTCCAAGCAACGTTTGATGAATATTTACAGCTTCTGGGTGTTCTCCACTGATATGCACCATGTTTCGCTAGTGTGATCAGAGATTTTTCACCTCGGCTGGATTGAACCAAGCCAACTGGTGTGCGGAATCTGTCACGCATACCACTCAACCACCGGCGTCGTCAATTATAATAGGTTATCATGAAGTATTTCTCAGGAGCAAAAAATATTGACTGGTCAGTTAGTTGGGACTTCATAATTTCGACCTTACGACCAGAACAATGAAGGATATTTTTCCTCCGTATACTCATACAAATAGTCTATTAAACTAATTCATTTAAACACGATTTTATAAGGATTTTTTACTGGTTCTATTTGAAGGATGAATCAAATTGAAAACGGTTCATATCGGCAAAACATTTGACATCATTTTATTTCTAATCCTCATTTCAGCACACCTGGTGCAGCAAGATTTTTCCATCAGGTGCGAAGATTTGACCTTTCCAGATTTTGAAGACGTTGTTACGCACGTTTTTCTTAACTAGAATTAGAATTAACGATTTGTTATGCTCTAATAAAATTTACTCCTAGAATTGTGACAGCTCCACTATATTAAACTGATAAATTCAGTTTCAGCAAAATGTCTTTTTCGTTTTAACAGTAAAATTCCACTCTCCTCTTTAAATACTCCTGGAATTCGATCTGTAGCACCTTTTAGAGCTCTTGGGAATCTCACGACTGTCACTCTACAGTTTACGCATAAAAAAAAACTGTAGAACGCACAGAATATTAAGAACTGCAAACAATCCTGTAATTTCTGGAACTCTACCTTTTTTTCTTGTTGCTTTATGAGCGAGATTTTTAGCTCAACGGATAGTTCGTCTCGAGGAACTCTATCAATTCTTCTAATTTTTAAACGTTAAAATAATTTCATACTTCCCCAGAACTTCAGAACTGTAAGTATAGTGCTTTGGGAGCATGCAAACCTCCCAACAATGTTTCTTCTTCCAGGAACTTGGTGATTTCATCGATATAACCTATTATATCTACGGATATTAAAACTGTAGAACTTCTGAAACATTAAAATATACTGAAACCTCTGCAAATCTATCAAACGTATGAACTGTTTCAACAATGTCCGAATCCAACAACTCCCGGAAAGAAGGAACACAAAACAGAAATTTCGATACGTTTAATGTTTAAAAAATGACAACGACCACAAGAAAATTAACAATTGCATGAACTCTCAGAAATTGTGGAACTCCCACGAGGCTTATAAATCCTGAGAAATCGAAATTTTGGAACTCAGAAAATATTCAAAGAAGCGTAGAACATATCAAAAGGATCTTTTGAAGCTCCATCCACTCTTGAAACTCTTGGGACTCCACGGAATTTAGATTCTCTGAAAGATTTAAAAGAAAAACGTCAGTATCTTTAGGAAGCTTTCAATATCCGGCAACGCTTCGAAATCCTGTGAACTCCTGCAAGAACTAATGGATGCAACTCTCAGCTCTCCAGGATCTTCTCGATCTCTAGCAACCTTTAGAGCTCTTGGGAACTTTAAGAACTGTACGGCTGCCTACGGGGGCCTACCTTAGCTCAGTCATTAAAGGTGCAGCGACAAAGCTAGACCATGCTGAAGGTGGGTGGGTTCGATTCCCGGTCCGGTCTAGGAATTTTTCGGGTTGGGAAATTTCTCGACTTCTCTGGGCTCAGAGTATTATTGTACTTGTCACACAATTATACTAATGCAAAAATGGTACAGGCATCTAGACCACTTAGTTGAATGCACGCAATAAGCTTATATGCGATAAGCAATAAGCTTGAAATGCGAAGAAGAAGAAGAAGAAGAAGAAGAAGAAGAAGAAAGCCAGAGCTGAAGAACTCCCGGAGTATCAAGAACTCCTTTAACTCGAACTAAAACTAATTCTGATGATTTTGAGAAATTACAATACCCTACATTCGAAATTTCCACGGCTATATTTTCCATAGAATTCATGAATCATTAAGAAACTCAATACATAAAAAAATGATTCGCTAACTTACGACCTAAAAGCTTCAAATTTTGCAATAATGAGAGCTGTAAGATGATAGATTCAATGTTCCAAATCAATAAAATGATTAAATCATGCATGACTTAAAATTTTCAAGATGCTTCTGAAAATATATAAAGAAATATAAAATCATAATCATAAATCATAACATATTTATACTGCAACTAACAAAAGACGTCACTTGTCCCAAGAAACATTGCAAGTTTTATCGAGGTTTAAAAGCATTCTACAAGTCTAAATCATGGTCTACAGAACCCTCAAAAAAACAAAATTGTTACTTGGGGTCTGTACATGTCTTTTGTCAGCCATGCACAAATCACAGACAAACATACGTAATTTTTCATGAAAACATTGTATCTCAAAACGTAGGACCTCAGTAACGACATCTCTCGGGTTTCTCTCGGAAAACAAGCTTGCTCGCTAACTCGCAAACAATATTGCATAAAAGTTCTATAGAATGCATAGAAACGTCAAAGGGATCCGATGCCAGCGCTGCGGCGAGTAGTCCGCGGAACTGATACTATTCAAATCAACCGTTAAATGCGTGAACAAAGGTACACAATGAAGTGTTACGTCTGTTTGTCTGTGGACAAATATTTTTAGACCAACATTTAAAATAGGTGAAACAGCCATACGTAAACAATGGCTTTATTCTATATTAAAACATACCCACTCAAATTTACAGTAGAGTAAAGTGGGGCAAGAATATGCAGACAGAAAAAATAAGCACTGGACCTAAAGACAGGTAAACGAAATGATTATGAGTAGGATTGAAACCTCTACTGAATGCATGTTTACTAGAAAAATATTGCATATTTTGTATTATCCACCTAAAAGATATCACTAGAAATATGATTTTTTTTTCAATTTGTGCATTTTTAAATAAAATTACATTTTTTTTGGCTGCGGTATTATGATATCATGGATGAAGATTATAATTTAAGTATTCCAGTATTATGATTGGTCTATCTGATAGGTATTTTCTGGTATGTATCCGCAGACAATGCAGGAAAGACGTAATGTATGGGAGATCCTTTTCATTATTGTGGTCAAATCGTTTCGATTTAAAAAAATGTTGGTAGAACCTGTTTTTAGTCTTTAATTAGCATGCTTTGTTAGTGCAATAATATTACCGAATATTAATTACATAAGATTTGTACGATTTCATGCTAATTTCCACCGCTAAAATACTACCAGCTTTCAGCACTTGAACAAAGAAAACAGATGACGAACTAAGGTTCAATTTTGATTTGTTATTGATTTATAAATCATTCATTCAATGAAAACAGACATTTGTGAAACAATTAATAAAATGCGCACTCTTGCTCCACCAGTGATGCAAAAGAACGCAACTTGAAACTATTTACTTAATCAGCAATTTAAGAAAAAAATCATGATTACTCAATAGCTATCCATAAGTGCGTACTCTTGCCCCATTTCACTCTACCATCAGGCAGAGGAAATGTGTTCTATCAAATGCTGGCACTCGAAAAAAAAAGCATTTAAAGCAACAACAGCTTTGGTTATACCGTCTATATCTCACGGTGGATAGATTTCAAAAGTAGGTTACGAAGATTCAAAATATCTACTCTGCAAAAATTGTCTTCCCAATGTTTTAAATGAGTTCATACTGAAGACATTATTTGTTAATAACTGTACCAAAATGTGAATATTAAAAATCAGGTTAATTCTTTGGGGGTGCATAGCACTTCTTGCATCCCCATTTCCGACGCAAATGGCAGCACATAGTTGCGGAAAATTTGACAGGTATAGACTGTTCCAGAATGTATAAGCACACTTTCAAAATAACAAAAAAGTCATGTTTTTTAAGTTTTAATAATTTTATTTGGCAAATCATATTTGTATTTGTATTTCAAATGATATTTTACTCTCGTTTAATCAACATATTTAGTCATAGCCAAGACTCCTAACTTTTCCTCGAACATGACCCATAAGCTTCTGCACAGTGGTACTTCCCACCATTTTGACCACTTTTGGTCAATCTTTTTTGAATTTTTGGATGTCGTCTGCTGGTTTTATTAATTTTCGAAGCTTTGCTTTGCCCAAAAAGTCTCGATTGGCCGTGCCTCCGGGCAGTTCGGCGGATTCATGTCTTTCGGCACGAAACATACATTTTGGCTTTTGTACCATTCTAAAGTGTCCTTTGCGTAATGACATGACGCCAAATCAGGCCAAAATACTACTTGACCTTCGTGTTGCCTGATCATCGGCAACAATCGCTTCTGGAGACATTCCTTAACGTATTTCTGAGTGTTCATCGTCTCCGTTGTGATGTACGGACTAGATGTTTTACTACACTCGCATATTGCCTGCCAAACCATAACCTTCTTGCCGAATTTTTCGGTAAATATTGCCTTCTCCGTTTCGGGGATGTCCTTGCCTTCGCTTACAGTATAGAATTGTGGTCCGGGAAGCGTTTTGTAATCTAGTTTCACGTACGTTTCCTCGTCCATTATTATACACCCAGAATTTCGACACAATAACGAATCGTAGAATTTGCGGGCCCGTGGTTTCACGGACGCGGCCTGTTTTGGGTTCCTTTTGGGTTTTTTCTGCTTCCGGTATGTTTTTAGCCCAAGTCTTTCTTTGGCACGCATGACGTCACTCGACGAGGTCCCTAGTTTTTTTTCGCAACATCCCGAACGGAAGTCGCTGGTTTTCGTTTGTGGGCATCCCTGATCTTTTTATCGATATCCGGACTTACAGGATTTCCGGCCACTCTTCGGCGCATCTTCAAACGTACACTGTTCTCTATATTTTTAATCGCACCCTCTTCTTTGGCCAATTTTCTCAAGGAGAGTCCGCTCACAGTGCACCATTTGTGCACGATACTTTTTCGTTGTTCCGGAGTAAGACCACGCATTTTGACAGGAAACACAAAACTGAGCACTTTTTTGATGCTATGTCATTCAGAAATGAGCAAACAAAAGGACGCAACCAAAACATGTTGAAATATTTCATTATATTCAAAGTGACCGTTAAAATAAGGTGTGCTTATACTTTCTGGAACAGTCATTAGTTAATAGATTAAGCACTCACTTGGCCGCAACGTATAAATCCGGATACATTGTTCGTCGCTCTTAATAGTAATTTTCAAACTCAATTTTACACGATGAGGCCAGTCTTTTTATTGTTTTGTGTCTGACTGACTGTAAATATCATAAGTTGGTAAACGTTATCGACAATTTATCAATGTAAGGATGTCTACTACATGGGAAATTCAGAAAATCCGGGAATCTTCAGGAAATGTTATTTTTCCTGAAAAAAATGGAATTATCAGGCAAGTGAGCCAGTTATGGCACTTATGACTCCAGTTTTTAGCCCTAGGGTCGAACTAAAATTTTAAATAAATTTTCATGGCTGTATACACTAAGATTTTGTTTCCGTGTTCGGTAAATTTTACCGAAATCAGAACAGCTGAACGTTCGGTAAAACTTTAACCTTCATTTTAAAGGCTATTGAATTTGAAAATAATATCAAAACATGTTCAACTTTGTTTAAATGATCAAATCTTGTCATTTTAGTGGAGATTTAGTTTCAAAGTAGCTGAAAAGCAATTGAATTGCATTGCATAAATTTTACCGAAAAGTTCAGCTGTTCAGATTTCGGTAAAAATTACCGAGGTTGGCGATAATTTCTAAGTGTGATTTATAAGAATAAAATATAAAATTTAGATAAAGCCAATTAAGGACTAATTGTTAAAAAAAACTTGTTCACTTATCCCACTCAGGATTTTTTTTCATCTTATTTAATTTTTAAAGCTCCTGGACTTAGATGAATAATTTTGATGAGAATTTATGAGGAACTCGTGGGATAATTTAAAGGGAATTTGGAGAAGAATGCCGTGGGAGGTCTGGAAAGAACAGTGAGGAAAACTTCAAATTTAATCTGAGGATTGCATTCAAGGTAGGTCTGACTAAATTCAGAATTCAGGTGAAACCTAAGGATAATTCCAAGGGAATCCTCAATAGGATTTGAAGGATGAAATGGGGTTAATTTCTAAGAAATTGTAAGGATAATTTCATAATTCAAAGGAGAATTCCAAAGGAGATTTGAGTCTCATCAAGAAATGTATTCCAAGGAAGATTATGATTAAATGTGAGGAGAATTCCAGGAGAACTCAAAGAGAGTTCTGACTAGATTTCCAAACTATTCCTGAATTCTATTTCTTGAATACCATGTGAATTCTAAAAGAACATCAAGGTAGTTGTAAGTAGAGTACCATGGGAAGGAGGAGAATTCGTAGGGATCTTGACAATAAGTTAATAAAAATTCCGAGGAAGTACTCCAAAGAAATTCTGATCAAAGTTTCGAGGAAATTCTGATCAAAATTCCAAGGGAATTGAATTTCGAGGAGAGTTTTAACGGAATGAATGAGGAAATTTTGAAGTCAATACTTAGGAGAGTTCGTGCGGAATTTCGAGGTGTATTTCAAGGTTATTGCAGAGATAATATTAAGAAAATTCAGTGGAGAGTGTTTCAAGGCATTTTGTGGATCATTTCATGGAATTTATGTGTCCACTCTAATTGTATTCTGAGCTGAATTCAGAGGGGATTCCTAGGATAATTCCAGGTGAATTTGGATTTAGAGAATTTTCAGGGGAATTTCTACGCAATACTGCGAAAATTATTAAGAATTTTAAGAAAATTTCAGAGTGAATTCAAAGAGTGATCCACAGAGAATTTCTAGAGAATTGAATAACAACTTATATGAGAATACCAGAGATAATATTTTAATATTAGTTCTGAGTAAATGATTATTCTACGAAAATTCTTTAAAGCAATCCTGTGAAGAGTAGGGTATCAAAATGATTTTTTGAGATCCTGGACCCAGTTAAACAGTTGAACAGGATTCGGAAAAAAATCTGATAATTCGACATGCGTACTTTTTTTAGATCATATGCTTGGTCAAATTTTCATGATTCATGATTTTTATTTGTCTCATAGACCTAGATTACTCTTCCTATCAAATATTACCAGTTCATTCGAGGTTTTGCACTCCTTTATTTCGAAACCTCTCTAAGGTATGGTTCCATATCCTTGTAGTTAATGTAAAACTTTGCCATAACAAATGAGTAGCATATGAAAAAAACATAATGCATTAGTAGATTTTTATTAGTTTGACTAAATGTTTAGTATTACTTCTGCGTGAAGTCAACGGTTTACATAGTTGAAGATGCTATTTCGAATAACATACTGAAGTGGTAATTTTTATACGATAGATAATTCTATACTTTCATCTCCTCATCTATCGTATACAATTATCACTTCAGTATGTTATTCGAAATAGCATCTTCAACTAAGATTTTTATTGTTTTTGTTGAATTATAATTCAGAGGTTGAACGCATTTGTTTTGAAAATTAAAGCATATATATATCTAATTCAATCTAATCTAACACCAACACAGTCAGTTCTTGATAGCATCCTGGAAAATGATACATTTACCAACATACTTTTTTTTCTGCTATTTGATTTTTCTATGTTTTAGCGGGATTTTTAGCCGTTGGCTAGTTAATCACGGAATCTATTTGATATATCCGGAGTAAATTGTGATTAGGTCGAAACTAGCAAAATGTAAACAAACGGAGATTGTACAGCAATCATTTGGAGCAGGCAAAGATCTACTAGCAAAGATCTACTAGCAAATACTCACAAACAATTTTTTAATGTTCCACTATCGAAAAATCCGTGCAAAGCGAAAGGCGAAACAAAATTTATTTCTAAACAAGCTTAAAAATGGGTTACGCTCTTTCCTTTGTTTACGATAGTACAGGGCGCAATTTTGAAACGTTGCGGAAATCAATGTTGTAAACACGACGAAAAGGGAAGGGCGACACTTTTAAGGAAACCAAAACAAGGCGCATAGTATTGAGTGAATTGTTGTTGGCATACATGTTCGGGGCGATTTAATGAGGGCGTATTATTGACGTTCCGCATTTACGGGTGAAATTATAAAAATGACGAGTTTTCAAGAGAAAATGAATAAAAGAGGATTTTAAACTAAACACAAATAAAAATGGATCAATTTTACAACCATACATTTAATTCAATTGGAAAAATATATTGCTTAACCTTCAATTAAAAATTAAATTAATACGTGCAAACTTGCTCGGTTTTTCTCAATTTGTTTACTTTTAGCTAGATTCGCCCTAATCACAATTTGCTCCGGGTATTGCGAATTTTGCACCCATTTAGACTTCTATAAAAAATAATTGCGGTATTTAAGGGACGAGATGATTCGGGGGTATGTTTTGAACGCTAATTGTTATACCATATATTAGAAATAGACGTTCCATCAAAATCTCTTCTCGTTAGTAAAGACTTAAAAAAAAGTAGGTAACAGAAATTCAATCTTACATTCTGTCATAAGAACAAACTCAATTCTTTTATAAACCGTATGGATGTTTTATTATAAAAATGTAAGGCAAAAATGTATAAGAGCATTGAGAGTGACCTAGTCGATCCCAATTAAACACTCAACATTAGGTTTGTCGTTTCCGAAATCAACCATGGCACCTGGCATCACTTCCTACCACCCGACCAGACATATTTGGAGAGAATGAACTTTTTCCTTCATTCAACAAAACCGTATGTTTTTTTTCCTTCTTGTTTCTCTGCAGGTTTTGACAAACAGCATCGATTTTCATTGTGTGTGCTCTGGTTCTCTGCGCAACAGAAGCTGTGTGGAGTGTGTTGTAAGCTTTGTCCCCTGTATATTGAAAAAAAGAAGCAAAAGGACCCCGTCATCTACAGACATTCGATGAGGTGAAGAAAACTGTATTTGCAACGAAACCCAATAGACCGATCGATAGTGTGTGAACTGATCTCGCGAATCGCGAATAGTGCGTACGTTTGTTTTATGAATGAATAAGCTAGGAATCGATCATTGCTTAAGGCTTCGCCAAGTGCTAGAAATGGTGTTCGTAAAAGTAGTAGGAAGAAAATGCGATTGCTGCTGCTGGTAGCCAGAAGCCATGATCCGGATTTCGTCCGTCTCATCGTGTCGGGTGTACTTTAAGTAGTGAGTGAGAAAAGAAGGCAAAAGATGAATGAATGAGCAAAAATGTCAAAAGTGCTATTGCCTGCTGCTGATGATGGAATTGTTGCAGAAGAAATTCCAGTGAAATAGTTTCCCATTGCTAGTAAGCCATTCGTTTGGTCCCACGGATTGCTAGAGTAGCTAGTGGTTTGACGAAGTTTGAGTTAGCTTGGATTAGCGGCCTTGATTTGTCTCCCTTGCCCTCCATTTGTCAGGATAAAAAAAAAACTAGTTCAGCCACACAAACCCAATCACACATACACAAGCGCATTCCATCTACCACCATGCCACATCAGTACGGAATTCCGGGCTACGGGCAGCAGACGCCACCGAGTCCACCTACGCACCACGGAGGTGCTCTCATTCCACGGCTCGGTGGCGGAGCTGTGATTCCGGTTTCGGCCAACACGAACGCTGGAAGTATGGTACCATCCGGTACTCCCATCTTCCGGGGACCCATCGAAGAGCGGCGGCTTACGCGGGATGCGATGGAGAAGTACTTGCGGGATCGCAATAACATGGTCATTGTGATACTGCATGCAAAGGTAATTATTTATTCATCTTTCAATCATCATCATCATCATCAGCGGCAGCCTCACTGGCAGCGAATATCATTTTGGGGTGCTGCGCGGTGTCGCGTTGCTGAGGTGAAATGTGTCTTCCTGTTACCTGACTCTAATAACAGTACACTTGTATCGCTACAGTGGTGCTATCGTTCGCGCATTATCTTCGTATACAATTGTTGTAGTTGGCCTAACCGGGGTCAGGGGGCTCATCCGACTCGGCAGAAAAGGAAGATTAATTTTTAATGACTTTTTTTTCTCGCAGTTATAGTGGCAACGGTTGGTTATTGGAGCCGGTTAATTACTGCTGATGATTGTGTGTTTCTACAAATTCATGTTTAAAAATGTGCTCAAATTATTATGGCAATTTTATACACATTTTTTTGTTTGTTTTATCAACAAACATAGAGTATGACTCTTGAAGTTGCACATAATCGCATAGATTCACAATTTCTCGTCCAACTCATTTTATATTTGATATCGGTCTCGGAAGTCCATACTTAAAAAACTCTTCTTAATTTTAGAAACTGTTCAAGAGTTACAGTTATAGTTATAGTGAATCAAACACAAAAGTTAGTGGATTTGTTGAAAATGAAATCAGAAATAAATTATACTATAATTTCTGATCATTCAATGACAAATTAACAACACATGAAATACATTAAAACATATACGTTTATAACGTATAGCTTTCTAAGCAATGCAGGGTGACCAAAGATCCGGAGTATAAGGATATTTCTTAGTTCTATTTTCACAATCTATTCACAAGGCTTATGAGAATGAAAGTTAAGGATTCATTGATAAGGCATCATTTTTGTTAATTTACTTAACATATGTCATCTTATTTATCTCTAATTTTGGTTTTTCTTTTTCTTTTTGCATTATCAGTGAATCTGGACGCAGAATTTACTTTATAGCAGTGCCCCTTAGTGGTTGGTTCTGGAATGTTTTGACAGTAGTTTGTTTTGAAAAAGTTGCAGTGCTGAAAGTTTCATCACGATTCTTCTTTTTCTTCTAAGTTATGCCATATAGAAGACGAAAGAAGAAAATGTTTCGGTTTCAATCAGGCTAAGGCCTTGTTGTCCTCTGCTGTCCGAAGAAGTCGTCTCCACTCTACTCGATCCATGGCCACAGTTCGCCAGCCTCGTAGTCTGCGAAGGGTCCGCAGGTCACCTTCTACTTGGTCGATCCACCTTGCCCGCTGCGCGCCTCTTCTTCTTGTTCCTGTTGGGTCGCTTTCTAGAACCATTTTCACTGGGTCGTCGTGCGGCATTCTTACGACGTGCCCAGCCCACCGTAGTCGCCCAATTTTTGCAATGTTGACGATGGATGGTTCTCCCAGCAGCTGGTGCAATTCGTGGTTCATTCGCCTCCTCCACGTTCCGTCATCCATCTGCACTCCACCGTAGATGGTACGCAACACCTTCCGTTCGAAAACACCAAGGGCGCGTTGGTCCTCCACGAGCATAGTCCAGGTCTCGTGGCCGTAAAGGACCACCGGTCTAATCAGCGTCTTGTAGACAGTCAACTTCGTGCGACGGCGAATTTTATTCGACCGGAGCGTCCTCCGGAGTCCAAAGTAGGCACGATTCCCTGCCATAATGCGCCTTTGAATTTCTCTGCTGGTATCATTTTCGGCGGTCACCAGTGAGCCCAAATACACGAACTCATCGACCACCTCGATTTCGTCACCGTCAATCTGAACTCGGGGTGGGAGGCTAACATTGTCTTCCCTAGAACCTCTTGCTTTCATGTATTTTGTCTTTGATGCGTTGATGGTAAGTCCAATCCGTCTAGCTTCAGCTTTCAGTCTGATGTACGTTTCCGCCATCATCTCAAAGTTCCGTGCCATGATGTCAATGTCATCGGCGAAACCAAGGAGCTGGATGGACTTCCTGAATATCGTGCCACTCGTGTCTATCCCAGCTCTTCTGATCACACCTTCTAACGCGATGTTGGACAGCAGACACGAAAGTCCATCACCCTGCCGTAACCCCCTTCGAGATTCAAAGGGACTCGAGAGTGTCCCCGATACTCGAACAACGCACATCACTCGATCCATCGTCGCCTTGACCAATCGCATCAGTTTATCCGGAAATCCGTACTCGTGCATAATCTGCCATAGCTGATCTCGATCGATTGTGTCGTATGCGGATTTGAAATCGATGAACAAATGATGTGTGGGCACGTTGTATTCGCGGCATTTCTTTTTTTTTTATATATCTTTATTAAGGAGACTTTCAGCACCGCGGCATTTCTGCAGAACCTGCCGAATCGCGAAAATTTGGTCCGTGGTAGCGCGGGCACCCATGAATCCCGCCTGGTATTGCCCCACGAACTCTTTTGCATATGGTGACAGACGGCGGCATAGAATTTGGGAGAGTACCTTGTAGGCGGCGCTCAGCAGTGTGATCGCGCGGTAGTTGCAGCAATCCAACTTGTCGCCCTTTTTGTAGATTGGGCATACGACACCTTCCATCCACTCCTCCGGTAATATCTCCTCCTCCCAAATCTTGGCAATTACCCAGTGCAGTGCTCTAGCCAGTGCTTCACCACCGTATTTCAATAGCTCACTTGGTAGTTGATCTACACCAGTTGCTTTGTTGTTCTTCAGCCGACCGATCTCCTGCTCAACTTCTTGAAGATCAGGGGCCGGTAGCCTGTCGTCTTCTGCGCGTGCTCCAAGGTCTGTTGCCGTGCCACCTTCGTTTTCTGCTGCTTCACCGTTGAGGTGCTCGTCATAGTACTGCTTCCACCTCTCAATCACCTCACACTCGTTCGTGAGAAGGTTACCGTCCAAGTCCTTGCACATATCGGCTTGCGGCACGTAGCCTTTGCGCGAACTATTTAGCTTCTCGTAGAACTTCCGTGTGTCGTTTACGCGGTACAGATTTTCCATCGCCTCGCGATCTCGGTCTTCCTGCTGACGCTTCTTCCTTCCGAAAACCGAGTTTTGTCTGTTCCGCGCTTGTCTGTATCGCTCCACATTCAATCTCGTGCGGTGTTGCAGCATTCTCGCCCGTGCTGCATTCTTCTCCTCTACTAACAGTTTGCATTCGCCGTCAAACCAGTCATTTCTTCGGTCCGAGATTGCAGTACTACCTATGGCTGAACGGATGTCCCTCCAGCCATCTTCAAAAGAAGCTGCGCCAAGCTGCTCTTCCGTGGGTAGTGCAACTTCCAGCTGCTGCGCGTAGTCCTGGGCAACTCCGGTGTCCCGTAGTTGCTCAATGTTGGGTCGTGGCGTTCGACTTCGACGTGTGTTATGCACCGTCGAGAGTTTTGAGCGCATGCATACTGCAACTAGGTAGTGGTCCGAATCTATGTTCGCACTGCTGTACGTGCGGACATTGATAATGTCGGAGAAGAATTTCCCGTCGATTAGAACGTGATCGATTTGGTTTTCTGTGTGTTGGTCAGGTGATCTCCAGGTGGCTTTGTGGATATCCTTGCGAGGGAAAAAGGTACTTCGAACTACCATACCCCGGGAGGCTGCAAAGTTCACGCATCGTTGGCCGTTGTCGTTCGATACGGCATGCAGGCTGTTTGGCCCGATTGCCGGTCTATACATTGCCTCCCGTCCTACCTGAGCGTTCATGTCGCCGATGACGATTTTGACGTCCCGTTGCGAACAGCCGTCGTACACCTGCTCCAGCTGCGCATAGAACGCTTCTTTCTCGTCGTCGGGTCTCCCTTCGTGTGGGCAAGAAGAAAATGTATTCTGCCTAAATCACCGAAAAAGTATTTTTTTTTATCGTTTTTAGATCGTTGGAATGGACTAGATTTTCAGGATACACTTTGAAATATTTTTTGATTTTTTCCAAAGCAATTTGAGCAGGATTAATTCTAGAGATAACACCAATTTCAGAGAAAATATCCAAGAAATTTTTTGATGAACTCTAAGTCAATTGTGTGAGTGTGTCAAGTATTTTTTTAAAGTAGCTTTGTGGAAAATTCGCTGAGGATGAAACGATCCGTGAAAACTATAATGGGAATCGAAGGAGTTTTTAGGAAATTCCGAGGATAATTCAGGGTGTCCATCCAACCGGGAAAAACCTGGAATTCGGATTTACCGGGAAAAATGCGGGAAATCCCAAATTTCACCGGGAAAGATCATATATACTCATCCCAAGTAACGATTTTGATTTTATATTATACAAGACTATAATTTGGTCTTGAATAATCTTTTAAACCTTTAAACTTGTAATGTTACTTGGAATCAATCTATAAAGTTGAGCACATACATAATTATATTCTCATATTATTCGTTTCTCTCACTCGCAATCTTTTCGCGCCCGGATCAAGCGGTGATTTTGTCGTTGTTCCTACTAAGATAGCTAAATTTATAGAATTTCATATGGTGTCATTGGAATGCATATGGTGTCATTGCTTGAATTATTTTGCTACAGTGTTCCGAGTGAAGTAGTTCTAGTATAAAGGCTAAGCGATACATATCATGTTACGAAGCTACTTCAAGATAGAGATGCAGATTTATGCCGTCTCAAACTCCTTGCAAACTCCGATCGTGCTTGGCATGCAAATGTTCGATACCGGACATAGAGATAAATTAAACATTAATTTCTGCAATTTGTGCTAACTAGATACCAATATTAGGACATCTTTGTATACCGAGTTTAGTCTGTAATCTTTGTAATCAGAATGATGATGTAATGAATCCATACATCCATACTTCTCACCCCAAAATCATGAAATCAAATCTCACCCGGATAAAGCACGAATGATCCGAGAGTGTGAAAATTACTATATCTGAAAAAAATACTTTCCTTGAAATTTTGCTAAGCATTCTCAAATCAAATCAGGATTCCATGTAAAGATTCTTTTAAGATTATTTCAAAAATCATCATTGGAATTTCCTTGCATTTCTCTTCTCAATTCCAATCCCCAATTGATAATAACATATTTTGACCTTACTACATATTACATACTGTATTCTTTAGGGTCAACAGTTAAGCGAAATAATA